CAAGAGATACAAATACATTCGACTTTGCCCTCAAAGAGAGTAAAATGGCGGGTTCAGCTTTCAAATTATGTTTTTTTGGATCAAGCGCGCAATGTGCATCTGCATCAACAGTGCTAGCAAAAAAGTAAGGCTTATACTTTTAAAATATGCGTACCGGAACGGTCCACGATTCATTTTCACGCATGTTTCGCTGACGTTCACCACGTCGTTCACGACAAGTACGCGCGGCTACCTTGTTCTTTCCTGGAATTGAATTCAAGACATTTATTTCAAGACTCAAATAGGAAGTCACTCAATAATTCCAATTAAGAACCCACCCCTTCTACGAATCTTGCGAATCAATTGCTTTTGTTGTTCAGTGAGATCCTCATTCTTGAGCACTTTATGCAGTTCTCCTAAGGTCATCTCAGAAATTTCACGGGCAGACAGTGGCAGTCGGTTAGCAGCTGCCAGCTGCTCATCTTTCGACTGACGACCACGTCGTCGTGGCATGTTGGCAAGAGTAGGTGAGACACTGTTATCACCATTGGATCTGAAATAGAAACTAAGGAACTACATCGAAAAAAAGAGGCCCAACTTCTTTTTATATTAAGAACCATGCCAAAAAAAAAATAAAGTATGTATGCACACTAACCCACAAACTGTTCTTGGATACATCGATGGCTCTTCAATTTCTCGTGGCGCTAGCTTGCCAAAATATCTGAAGATAAGACGCTTTAATAAAACTATGTAAAATAATCTTTCTTCCTGCAATAACAACTTCATACTAATCTCACTCGAAACCCACCTGCTCGCATGAGGACTGTAATTTTCAGTTTCACTATGGTAATGGGGCGAGGCCGCCGTCGATGAAGAAGAGCACACCGATGAGGATTCACTGAAATGTTTCTTTTGAGCCTTAAATTTCCTATTTCTTTACTTTTTACTGAAGTTCTATCATCTTTAATGATATTTCTTACAAAATGCGATTTAGAAATTACAAAGTCTTAGACATATCTAAACTTTACAACTGTCGTGAAAATTAAGGGAAAGCAGATTTTCAAAAATCGTGATAACCCACTTGCTGAAAGAAGTGGTCCTCGCCGCATAGTACGGATCATATGCAGGCAATGTTCTAGTGGCAGTGTTCTAAAGCAGCGAACAAACTTGTTTGTGAACTTCCTTGCCTCGCGAGGGAGCCTCACCTCATCACACTGATCACTGGGAATATTGCCTAGATACTGATGATCATACTGGCTTCCAGTAGATATCACCTGAGTCCCAGTGTCGTTTTGAAAGGTCATGTAACCATTGTTGGGATATACTAAAATGTAATTAGTTGAAAATAAAATACACAACTATTTGAGACAACAAATTCACTACCTAGATTTTGATTAAAAAGTGTTACTATAATTGAGCACGCGTACAAGATAAATAGTCAAAAAAAGTTGTAATGTAAATGGGACTAAATGGCCGACAATCCTTAAAAAGTCGGTTTTTCTTAATCCGAGTAGTGAGCTTACATCACCACTTTTCCCTTCTGCGCTCGCTCCATTTAACTATTTGTTTTTGTATAGATCACTCTATCCCACTTTTATCAACCCATTGGCTCCATAACCTAGTTTTTAAAAATTGACCGACGACCCCTATAAACCTGCTTAGGCGCTCATTACAGATAAGAGCCTATAAGCCTTTGCGTATATCCTATAATGACGTGCTATCTCCGCTGCTATATTATCAGAAAGTTACGCAATCTACGCCATGTTAGATTTTCGTGAAGACTAATCAACGATAAGCACCCCTAGCAATTTCGTCTTTTCTTCTAATTGGGTCCGCTATAGTCAAGCAACCATTTCTAATCACTACCGCTACAGATGAAGTACTCACTATCATTCGGCGTAATTTCTGCTTGTTGAACCCACATGCTCGGCATGGTGGTTTCGTTGTAGAGGGTTGCTGGAGCCGGTGGGGCCATGACAGATGCTAAGGCGGCCTGTCGTTGTTCTTGCATCAGGGACATCTCGGTTACTAAACAGGAAACACAATGTCATAAGATGTACGTCAGAAAAAAAAATAATCTTACCGTTCTGTGGAGTAAAGACGATTCCTTCAGAGAGGCTCACGTTATTAACTAAAGGTAGTGGTTCCAATTCAGATGGTGGGCAAACTCCTCCACAAGCCAGTTGATCAAGCTGGCCACCCTCCTTGGAGACGTCAGCTAGAAGGTCAGCTAATTCCTCCTGAGACAAAACAATCAAGGTTTCATGCAACAACAGCAGATTTCC